GCGCACTGACTCCTCCAGGGGGCGCCGCGGACAGCCCTGCAGGCTGCGTGTGTGCGCATCTCTGGCGGTAATATCAGCCCTCAGTTACCGCAGACCGATGAGGCCCACAGTCTCCCAAGCGAGTGGAAGGCGAAGGCTGACATAAGTGAGACAGAAGGCGTGCTTTCAGGGCCCGGGAGGATCAAGCCCTCTCACAGAATTGAGATTTTTCTGGGGGCTAAGAACAAGAACTTCTCTGGGGGGCCCTATTACTGGTTTTTCCTACAAAGGAGGGCCGCTGAAGAAGACGCAGGGATCTGGGCAGGGCCTGGGAGTCCCTTCAGGGGCTTCTCCGGGCAACACCTCATGTTCACTGGGGAGAGCTGTGTGGGCTTCAGGAAGGCCCTGGCCGCAGGGCGGAGGCGTGCAGCTGCGGCCCTCATCCGGCTAACGGGCTGGAGCAGCTGTCCCGAGCTGTGGCCTTGGCTCACCTGGCGCCCTCAGGGCTTCGCCCGCCTTTCCACGTTTCCCTACTTTGGGCCTGCTGCCCTGGGCCTCGGGCCAACTACACGTAAATCTGAAAGTCCAGCAGGTTACCGTACATCGGCCAGAGCCGCCTCTTAGCGGTCCCCATCGTAGAGCTTCGTGACAGATTCCTGGCGGTGGAAGCGAGAACAGGGAAAGTCTTCTCATTGGAAGGACAGCCCGTGGGGCGGGCGCGGCCCTCCCTTGTCGCCTCTCCTCCTGCCCCAGTCCTGTCCTCTGACCCAGCCTCTCCCCACAGGTGGGGGCCTCTTTGTTTGCCAGCAACATCGGGAGTGGACATTTCATCGGCTTGGCAGGGTCGGGAGCATCGGTGGGCATCTCTGTGACTGCTTATGAGTTTAATGTAAGTATTTGTCCCTGGGCTTGGACACCTCACCTCCACCTGACAGGCGGGCTGCGGAGGAATTGTTTTTCTTTTTGAGGAAGGTCTCTTGCTATGCAGTTTAGGTTCACCTTGAGCTCACTTGGTAGCCCAGGCTGGTCCTGAACCTGCAGTGATCCTCCTGCCTCAGCCTCCTGAGTGCTGGGATTGCAGGTGTGCACCGTCACACCCGGCTGGAGGAAAAGTTTGAATGCCCTGTACTTCAACAACAGAGTAACACCTTTTCTGCAAGGGGGATCCTGGGGCTGAGCCCAAGGCCTTGCATGTGGTAGCTAAGAAACCTGCCACTGAGCTACCCCCCAGCTCTTGAGTCAGGGTCCCACTAAGTCACAGAGCTGTCCGGGCTGGCTGGGGCTTGCAACCTTCCTGCATCAGCCTCTGAAGGAGCTGGCACCGCTGGCATGTGCCACCACACCCAGGTAGAATGGTACTTTTTGGAAAAAACACACAGGAGACTTGAAGGGTGCCCTTGGTCCACTAAATTCAGTTGGGCCCGTAAATCTGTCTTCTTGTTTGCTGTGAGTCAACAGGCATTGCAAAGCCTTCTGTGGACATTCTTTTCTTTGCTATTGAACCCTTTCCTCCACATTGTGTTTCGATTTTGTTTGTCTTTGGTTTTTGGTTTTTATTTTCTTGGGACAGGGTCTTGCTATGTTGCCCAGTGGCTTCAAACTTGTAGGCTTAAGAGATGCTCCTGCCTCAGCCTCCCAAGAGACTGGGGCTACAGGTGTGAGCCACTGCACAAGGCTCTCTTTCCCCATTTTAAAAGTCCAAACAAGAAGGCCAAGGAAGGTGAACTGCTCACCAAGGAAGGGTCTAAGTCAGAGGGGCAGCCCAGGCCTTTTACCTCAGGAGGCAGCGGAGAAACCGGGGGCGGCGCCCTCTCAGGAGAGGACAGCGAGTTCTGACTGCTCTCTCTGGCAGGGCTTATTTTCAGTGCTGATGTTGTCCTGGATCTTCCTGCCCATCTACATCGCAGGCCAGGTGAGGAGCGGTCGGGTGCTGTGGGCGGGGAGGCCTGGGCAGGCAGTGGCTCTGCCTGGTAACAGAGTCCGGGTCTGCCGGGCCATCCGAGGCTGGGAAAGGATATGGGTGGGAGTGGTTCTGAAGTTCTAATGGGAAGCGTAAAGCTCAGTCGTAGGGGGGCTGCAGAATCAGGTTGTTTGTAGACTTATTTTATTTTATTTTTTAAAAATCTATTTATTTGGTTCAGGGTCCAGCTGGCACAACAAGCAGTATCAGGGATTTTTTTTTTTTTTAATTTTAGGGAAGGGTCTCCAGGGTGCTCAGGGTCTCACTACTAGATCGGACTCCTAGTGATCTGCCTGTTTGCAGCCTCCCAAGTGCTGGGATTACAGGTCCGTGCCACCACGCCCAGTCCCAAGCAGCGAGTCCTGGGGTCAGGGCCGGCAGGCCAGACTAGGGGAATCCTGGCCCCTTTGCCTGCTTGAGGGCGCTTCAATCCACTGAGCTATTTGGCCGGCCACCAAAGGGCAGGAATCTTGCTGAGTTGTAGTGTTCTGGGGATTTTTTGTGTGCGTGGTTTGGTTTTTTGTTGTTGTTGCCAGGATTCAAACTCAGAACCTTCATGCTTGCCAGGAAGGCCCTGTGCCACTGAGCTGTATCCCTGGCCCGACTCTTCTATTTTTAAAAAAGAATTTTTAAAGAACAACAAAAAGATACAGAATTTCAAAACAAGGTGACAGGAAATGAACCATGGTTGTTATACTGCGTACTGCTGTCAGGGTAGTTACTCGGGGGACCAGATACAGGCACGCCAAGCGGTCGTACAGTGACCTCAGCGATCTTTCCTGCTCTCCCCCATCCCAGTTGTTCTCTCCTTTTGAGCGGCCTCCTTCCCTTTCACAAGCTCTGTGGTACCTTTCGGCTCTTGCTTACTCTTTCAGTTGCTTACGGTAGGGAGACAGAACGATGCTTAGGGTCGAATGGGACCTCCAGGCCCGGCTTTCCGAGGACTCTCCACACCGCTTCCACAGCGGCTGCACCAGCTGCAGACCGCCGTTCTTCTGTCGGTGCCGGGCAGGGAGGCCAGGGCCTTGTGCACGCTCAGCGCACACCCGAGCGGGGAGCCGCGCCTCGATCAGGATCTCACAGGCCTCCCTCAGACTGTTTGCATTTCATACGTGTTGGGTGACGTAATGCCGCTTACAAAGCAATAACCGATCTTAGCTTCCTTTGAGGGGTGTTACTGGGGATTGAATCCAGGGCCTTCGCACCAAGCTACAGCCATTTTTATTTTATTTTATTTTATTTTTTATTCTTTGCAGAACCGGGGATTGAACTCAGGCCCTTGTGCTTGCCAGGGAAGCACTCATTCCACTGAGCCATCTCCCTGGCCCCCATTTTTATTTTTGAGACAGGGTCATGCTGAGTTGTGAAACTGTCCAGACTGGGTTCCATCTTGGGATATTCCTGCTTCAGCCTCCTAGAATTTTTAGATTATAGGCATGCACCACCACACTCAACTTGATTTCAACTTTTTATTGTGGGAATTTAGAAAAATATGCAAAGCAGGGCTGGGGAGATAGCTCAGTGGTCTAAGCGCCTGCCTGGCAAGGTTGCATGTACCAGGGTTCGATCCCCGTAGCACAGGGCGAGCCAGCCCCGCGCTGGGGTGCATGCTTGCAATCCCATGCTGGGGAGGCTGAGACAGGAGGATCGCTACGAGTCTGCACTGCATAATGAGACTCTGTAGCAAATAAATAAACAATATGCAAAACAGAAATAGTTTGAGGATTGAAAACTCTGCTCGGAGTGATCCCGTATCTGAAGCAGTACAGTCTAGGAGCGTGACAAGCAACCTGCACAGGGGCACAAAGGGGCTTGGGGAGTGCAGGGGCCTACCCGCAAGGAGCTGTGACAAGCCCCTGAGCAGACAAAGTATCTGCAGTCTCACAACAGACGCGGGAGTTGTGCCAGCCGTTATTCTTCTTCACCTACAAGGGAAGGCGGGATGCTGTGCGTGGGGCAGCAGGCGCTGGGGCTCCAGATTTCACGGCCCAGGCAAATGCAGAAGCCAGGCGTGGGCGGGGCTGAGGGCTGGGAGGCGTCGGGGGCTCCGAGGGGCTCCCCTGAGTGACAGGCGGAAAGGGGAGCCAGGGCGGGCCCAGCACCAAGGAACCGGGCCCCGCGGTGGGGTGCTGTGCCCGACAGGGACGCGCCGCTCTGCCGGCATGTTGAGAAAAGACAAAAGGCTTCCCAGTTTACTTTTATTGGGAAATAAACACAGAAAAAAGCAGTAAACACAAACGCGTAGCTGAGCCAACTACTGTTAGATCTAAAACGCAGTCTCTGAGACTGGAGCCCGCAGTGCTGTTCTTCTTCGCCTTTCAGAGTAAATACGTCTGTGTTTTTCCCTACAGCTCTTATGATGCATCCCTGGACAATAAGATTTCATTTTACTTTTTAACAAGTGTTGTATAGCACTAGAACCCAAGGTGACGGGTCCTCTTGCAGCTGCTGGGTAGCCCGCTGCAGAAGGTCCTGTCCCGATGCCCTGAACAGACAGAGGCTGTCCCAGCGCCACGCGCGTGTGCCCTGGGGCACGTGGCCGTGTGTGGACAGAGGGAGTCGGGCCGGTCCCTGAACACACGCACGTTGGGCTTTATAGGAGACTCCTGGACCACTTTGCTCCTTCTTTCTTCCCACTTGCTGGCTGAAAACCCTCCCTGCTCCAGTGCGCCCCCCGTTGTGGACCCTTGGGGTTCTATTGCGCATCTAGCGAGGGCTGGAGAAGCAGCGCACGGTGCTTGAGGCAACTGCTTTCTTTACTGGCTTTCCGACCATTTGAATTTCTCCTTGGGGACACAACTTGCGGCTGATTGGATCCAGAAGGTCCCTTGGAGGTCCCCATGGGAGCGGTGCAGTCCCCAGTTTGGTGCCAGTGGGAAGTGGCAGAATCCTGAAAGGCTTGGGCCTGGTGGGGGCCTCAGGTCCCCTGCGGGGCTGTGACCTTGGGACAGATTGTGGCAACCCGGTCTCCTCCTCTTTGTGCTTCTGGCCACAAGGGAAGCGGTTCTCGTCTATTTATTTATGTTTCTATCCACATAGAATTTATTTTTGCCCACCCTACATGGAGAATAGTATCCTGCAAAGATCAAGATCATTAGAGATCATTTTAATTAAGAATGTAGAAAATGGGCCGGGGATGTAGCTCAGCAGCACAGCATCTGCTTGGCAGGTGTGAGGTCCTGAGTTTGATTCTTGATACCCCCAAAAAATAAAAGGAAAAAGAACACAGAAAATGAACTCTGCGTTCATGGGGCCCATCCTGGCCCCTACCCGTCACGTTCTCCTACGCTCTCGCTGTCTTTGCCCTCCGCTGGGGCCCTGCTTCTGCTTGTATGACTATGACAGGAATGCGTCTCTCCTGCTACACTGTGAAGGCTGACCCAGGGTCCCTAGCCTCTGCACTAAGCGACACTCAGTGCTTGATAGTTCTTGGAGGTGTGCATGGGGGGTGGGGGTCCTGTGTATAGCAGAACGTTTAGTAGAGTCGCAGCCTCCAAATCGCGACCCCCGAAGGATCTCCAGACGTCGTTGTTCACTGCCCCCTTAGAAGCTGAAACGTGAGGGGCTGGGGAGATGGCTCAGGGGAATAAGCGCTTCCCTGCCGGAGTTCAATCCCAACCGTCTTCCCCAACTAGGACCGCCC